AAAACGATATTTGAACAATTAAATAATAAAAACATTTATCGATACAAAACTCAGTAAAAATCAATCATAGTTAACAATTGAATACATTCACATTTTTCAGCAAATAATAATAGAAAACAAATCGACGTAAATTTATTAACCATTTCAACGTCAAAATTTATTATGAATTAAATATACATTATAAAATAAATAAAAACAATTGGTCAAAGGTAGGATTGAACGAGTACAATGTATGAATAATGATTATTTTCATAAATGAATAAAACAAAGAAGACAATAATTCTCGATTTCGAGTGAACGTGATTTCGATAATAAATAACACTAATTGTCAAAGATAGTTATGTGTCTTTTATAGAACAAAAACGTAACTGTAATTTTTTATTAAGGCTATCCATCATCTTTTGCTCGAAGCATATGTAACTTCAACGACAGATATGGACAAAATATGAACTACAAGGGCAAACGGATGAACACTGTCTCCATCATGCGCCTATCGTATCAGTATATAAGCTTGTCTAGGTTATACCTAGGTCAATATGAGTTAGAGTGCTAGTAAACTATGAACTCACTTTTCAGTATTTCATATCTTACTTTTTGATGGTAACATGCCTCTCGCAGTATTTCATAATAGATATGACGCAAAAGGTATGCATTTATTTTACGATATGAATGTATAAAGAATAATAAGTATAATTGATATATATATATATATATATATATATATATATATATATATAACAAATGCTATTTTATAAATAATATATATTATAATAAGTGTGGAAACAAACTCAGATTTAGAGTTTTATACAAATAACATATAATAAAGATATATATATATATATATATATATATATATATATATATATATATTCATCAAATATTAATTTTCATTCACAATTTTCATATTCAACAAAATAATAGAAAAAATTTTGTCTTTAATCGAATATTTCTATACTCCATATATATTTATCATGAAATAAAATTGTACTTCAGTTGTTGATCGTGCTTAATGTAAGCTCAGAGTTAATATTTGCGCTGGAGAAATATAATATGCTTGATTTAAAACCAAATAGATTGTTTTAACGCTAGGATAACATTATAAATTGGAATCAGTATTTTTTTTACTTTACGCATTAACGTTAAACATTTTTCTATGACTTATGCATAACTCGATTGTCGCAATATCACGATTTTCAATCACTACTCGAGCATGATACTTTGATCTGATTGAATGCTCCGATCTTTACTCGTCGAAATACAAAAGAAAATTGTTCCAGCAAAAATCAAAAGTCAATGAAAAGTTCTTTTCTTTTTTAAATGACATCGCGTTCAAAATTTATCTTTATTTAAATATTTATTTACATTTTTTTTTTTATATTTAACGAGTGTTTCGATCTACGAAACGATTCGGAGATTAAAATTTATGTATTTTTAATATTAAATTCAAATTATTTTTCGTTAAACTTGTGTTACCGTCTGTGTATCCTTTAATCGAAATCACTATTGCTTAAATTTTAGTTTATTCTACTCTGTTTATTCAATATTGCATTGTTTATATAATTGTATACTTATTGAAAGTATAAATTATTGATGTTTATCAGTACGGAAAGAGTGAATTTATATTTAATATTTATTCGTCGGAAAGCAAAATAGGATTAATTCAATAACAATTAAAATCACTCAGGTATCTTTTCTTATTTATATTAAATGCGCTAGAAATCTCTGAGTATAAAATTTATCTACTTTAAAATATTAAATTAATATTATTTTATATTTAATGTCTATTATGAACTATGTTATCTTTAATTGATGTACGATTTTTTGAATATTACTTAATTTTATTGCATTATACATTATTTAAATATACGTAAAAAAAATATTGAAAATATAATTTATTTATTCTTACTTGTACGAAAAGAGAGAATTTAGAACGTTTACTCGCCATAATGGAAAATAATGCTGACTCGATAAATATCAAACTCGGTCGAACATACGTTTTTGTTAGCAAACCTAACAAAATTAAAAATTTGAAATTTAAAATTTGAAGTTTAAACGTTTCAAAATATTAAATTAAAATTATTTTTTAAATTGAAATTAATAATGTGTTACCAATTACGTGAAATTTAAAATAATATACAGATTTATATAAATTATTTGTTTACAACTATTAATAACTAGTAGAATACATTATAGTGTAATGCATATCTTAGATGAATGTTAAATAATTGAAAAAATTGTTTGTAAAATGTCTAAAAAGCGATTGAAGAGTTGCGATGCCTACTATTTTAAAATTCAATGACAAATTAATTGTTTTTTATATGTTAAATTCGCTCAAAATTTATTTTTTTTTTCTTATTTTTTGTACAACCAGTCGTTAATGAAAGCGACTATTAAGATTTGTAGCGATTGTAATTTTAGATTAAAATTATTTTATTTTAACGTTGTATTAATATTTATGTGATTATTAAACAAAAGTGTAATTTTTTTTAAAACAATTATATTCATTATTATAAATCATTGTTATTTAATTATTATTCTCATTGGAGTACATTAGGCATATCTTAAATGAATGTTAAATAATGGAATGAATTATTTATTCTTACTTGTTAGTGCTAGGATAAGAGACGTGTTATGTTCACTCCTTGAAATTTTATATTTCTTTTTTTTTACACCCTATAAATAAAATTACAAGGAAGAACCAGCTATTTCGCTTAGGAAAATGAAGGATTCCTGTAAACGTCAGCGTTTCACTTCAATCCAATCATTTTTATAGTATCGTACGTATGGTTTATGTCAGGAATATCTATGCATAAATGAAAATATATATATTCATGTATACATATATATAGAGGTACATTGACCTTTAGAAATCCGATTCTTTCCTTCGATCGAATTAAATGAAGAGAATAAAAACCAAGAATAGAAAGAAAAAGAAAGAGAGAGAGAGAGAGAGAGAGAGAGAGAGAGAGAGAGAGAAAGAGAGATAGATAGATAGATAGCAAGTTGCTGAGAAGAGTGGTGATGGTCCAATTAAGCGTTTTTTCTTCTTTCCGTTGCCACGGCAATCCGTCCGATTTAAAACAAAAAAGAAGACAGCACAACAAGGAGTCGTTATTGGAAATTCGTAGGAACGTGATCAAGCAGCGAGAGGACTTACTGTCGCGCGTGTTTCACGCTTTTCCTCTTAATTATTTCGTACGTTGTTCAGTGTATGGAAATAATTTATAACATTCTTAATGTACCTGAAACTGCAAAGAAGCATGCATACGAGCGTTTAATGCATACGTATATATATATATATATATATATATATATATATATATATATATATGCACATACGTTTGACAGTCATTAAAAATCGCTTGAATAAAGTAAAAACGGTATTTGAGAATAATTTAATTTTATTAGAGTTTTTTTTTTATTATAGCGAACAAATGGAAAGAATAGACTAACATAGACTAAAGAAATATACGAATTAGTAAATAAAAGATTTACGATTTTTATTTTCTTTCTCCTCTGTTGATTTTTTTTTCTCTTTTTTTTTTTTTTTTTTTCTTTTTTTTTTTTTTTTTAATAAGAATCATTATATTTTATTCCTCCTATTCTTGTTAGAATACTTTGGAGTGTAACACGGTATGTACGTTAGGACCTATACACGTGTATTATTTATCTTGAGAAATTTTGAACGATTTCTTTTTAATACAATACGAAATAATTCTCGTAAGTAGATTGAAAAACGTTCGTCTTTGCGTTAGAACGTGACGATAATTGTGTAACAATGTTTTATAATACAAGCGTAAATCGTACTATAGTATCGAACTGAAATCGAAAGGAAACGAATAAATAGAGAAAAAAAAAGGTGCGAAACCGTGACCTATTCGAAAAGCAACATAGTATTCTCCACGAGAAAATTGCCTTTTTTTCTTGTAATTCTTTCTCTCTTTTCATCTCTCTTCTTCTCTATTCGTCAAGGATCCTGTAGAAGGAAACGGGAAACGTATTGCTTCAGGAACTTTGAAAATCAATTGGATTCGCAAGCAATATAAGCGGAAATTCAGAAAGTCAACCACCTACGTTCCAAACACTCGACTTCGTCTTTCGCTCCTCTTCTCTTATCCCCAACGGATACGAACCTCTTATGACTTACGGACTTTGTTTTACTTCGTAATAAAGTTTATCAAGCGAAAACGAGAAAAAGAATTTATTCGATTACTTATTGGTTCATCTACATCTATTCTATACGAGAAAAAAGAATTCTAAATTTTTTTTTTTTTTTCACAGAAATGCGCTACATATATTTCATTCTACTTGAGCTATAAAGTAATACTTAAATTACAATTATAATTATAATATAATACATATCAAGTATGTATTAGTACCATATATATATATATATATATATATATATATATATATATGCGGGTTGGTCTTTTTAAAAAAAATACCAAAATAAATATTTCTCCGGTTTATTGCGATGCAAAAAATATATTTTATGTAATTTAAATAAGAAAAAAAATATATATATATATAATATACAATTATATATACATACACGTATATATACGTACCATAAGTGTATTTATGAGGTACCTGCTGAAAAATAAAACTTCAAATTTTCTATGTCATCGTTTGGTACAGTAAAAGTAAGAAAATTCTTTTATTTCTTATTCTTACAGAAATTAAACAGATACAAAATTTTTAACGAAACAATTATCTATTAGATTTGACAAAGTAATCATAATATATCTTAATTGTATTGTACATTTGTTAAAAAATTACAATTATCCTATGGATATGGTATATAATAATGTTCTATTAGTGTCTTTATATTGATACATATATATACTTTCTCCAAATAGTGTACAATCTTAAATCAATGATCAATAATTCATTAGTAATTAAAAATTTTTCATAGTTATATAAAAGTGACAAGAATAATTGTAAGTATTAGGAAACTGTGGAAATTTATTAAGTATTATTAAAAATTATGTGCCCGGAAGTGTATTTTTTTTTTTTTTTTTTTTTTTTATAGAACTAAACACTTTTTTTACGAAAGTGATTCACATAAACGAATTCATTTAATTACGCAAGTAGTTTTAATCTCACGGAAATAGTTTTTACAAGCAATATGTCTTACATTTACATAATTGCAACAGACACACTATTACCGATCATAAAATTATAGTTTTCCACTTTGCTAGTTTCTTCTTTTTTAGAATAAAATTTGTCGTTGCATCGTTCAAAATCAGAATCGATCTCTTTCATGGAAGACTTTTCAATCTCTTCCTTCGGCCCGTCGAATCCAACAGTCCGCTCAAATAGAAAGATGGTTTCATTACTTTAGCATGCACTGGACCGAATCTTTTCGCCAACTCTCTTTCTATGGAATACTTCAACATCGGCTTTAGGTTTCAGAGAATGATATCGATAGATCAGTTTTCCCCTTTGGAATCGTTGAAAGTTACGAGACGAAAGAGAACGTACCAACACAGCTTCGACATTCGATTTACTGGAACTAAAAGTCTTTGTTGAATTCTCTGAGAGAATAGTTTGTAGGTAAGTGCAAGGATCAGTCTACGAAGATGTAAATCGGTCTGTAAAATTTGATGTATTTTTATCTTTGCATCATTAAGATTAAGATATCGATTTAAAGGAAAAATATCGTCAAATTTCTAAAACTTAAATGCTACGTTAAATCGGACAATACTTTTTCCCTAACTCGATGGTTTCACCTGTTAAATTTATATAATTGTTAGTTTACATTATTCCCATTGTCTTATCACTCTATTCACTTAACTTATCTATTATCTATATTAATTACATCAACATTATTTGATTATTTTAATTTATCATTAATTTCTATATATTGATATAGTCTGTTATCTTGTCTTTACTTGATTTCCTATCAGCTACGAATTTGTCCTGTTTTAAATACTTTTCGTATTTTCTTTGATAGTGCAAAAAAGAAAAAAGAAAAAAAAACAAAAAAAGAATCAAGACAAACAAACTAGTAGAACTAGTTGATAAAATGTCTCATATTATTTCTTATACGAAGGTTTCCTTTTGACTGTACCGGTTGGGATTCCATTGGAATCTTCACCTGTTATAGATGACTTTTCGCTGTCCTTTTTCTGAAGAGTAGGAATAGAAGATTTACCATCATGTGCATAAGTTACATTCGAGATTTTACCAGGTACTGCCTCGACTCTTTGCACAATCTCCGTCTTCTCTGTATGCGTCTGTGTTAACGATTTATCGATACCGATAGGTAAGTCCTCTTTTCGTCTTGAGAAGGAGGGTATTCTCGTTACTTTCGGCTTTTCTCTCAAGGGAGGTCTTTCGACAGTAGGCCTGTTCTCTTTACGTTCTAAGATCTTATCCCTTTCGACGTTCTGACTATTTTGTCGTTCCACCAATGGTATGGCTGAGATTTTCGGTATGTTCCTTTGATCTCTGCTCTTTTGAAAGCTAGTTGTAGGTTTTATAATAATTTTTGGTTGTTTTGAATTCGTCGTACAAGTATTCTTTGGATCACCAGCAGTTATTATGATACGCGGTTCCTTTCTTTCCTCCTTCGAACAAGTTAAATTGCTACTACTATTAGATTCGAGTTCTAATCGTTCCGATGAGCCTAAATCGATGGTATGAGGTTTCGAAGGAGATATCACGGTTTCAACGGAGCAAGCATCTCCAACATTGACTATAGTCTGGCTGAGATCTTGATTACCCTGTCCTAGAAGATTAACCACTCTCGGAGTGATCACGATCTTTGGCTCGCCTGTCCTATCCCAATTTGCGTTACCAACGAGCAATCGCTGCTGCCTCTCTGGTTCCCTAGGAGCGATCACGATTCGCGGTTCTGAGGATGCCAATGACATTACCGGCACTATCTTACCTTCCTTCGATACAGGCTTGTACCAATTAGGGTTGCCCATTCCTGCCTCGATGAAGTCTCTTCTAGGATCTCCGATATCTTTGTCGAGTATCTGAGAGTTCGGTGAAAATGTGTAGGATCCGCCATGTACCGGACATCTTGGATTCGTATAAATGGTGTCAACGCTACCACCACCAGGATGAACGCTATTGATCATATTTCCTTCTATGGAATCGATGATACTAGGATCAGAGTTGTTTTTAGCAGAAGAATCTTGTCGTTTTGTTAATGGTCCAATGTGAAGATCACTAGTAACAGCTTCCTCCTCACAATGGTTTTCCTTCTCTTCGGCGAATTCCAAGCTCTTCGATGTGCCGAACATTCTTGGCGGTGGTAACGGAGGTTGTCCTGATACAGGACTAGGTAAAGTACCCTTGTAACCCCTTAAAGAGTTCCCATGTTGTTTCGGAAGGAACAAGGTAGTTGGTACAGGAAGAGAACGTCTTTTCTCGATGTCTGGTAGAACCTTAGGGTAATTTCGTCGTTTTATCGTTCGAAGTGCTTCCTCGGGACTAATGCATTCTCTTTCGACCGTTGGTTCTCTGCACGTGACATTCACATCGCTTGGTGTACTACCCCCACTAAAAGTTGTCAATTTCGTCGATTTCACGTAGACTTCTTCCAATGGTGTCGTTCGATCCTCAGCATTCTTGGAGGCCTCAATTTCAACGGTCTCGTCGCTCCTTTCAAGATTCCCCCGTGGAACTCGAACTTTTGACTTTGGATTGATCTTCGCGTAGAGACTGCTCGTACTACCAGAATCGGATTCATAGATTCGCGGAGTCGAGAAATTCGGTTTCACGCTTCTCAAGACGTTCTCCATTGGTAGTGGATCACTTCTCGAATGATGATGTTCTATCACAACGACTTGAGGTGTCATCTGGAATTGGCTCCCATCAGATAAAGGATAGTCGAAGGATTGTTCGATCTTCTCAACGAACGTCTCCTCCTTTTTCGACAATTCGATTGGTACTTGATTCAAAACGGATTCGGTCCTCGTTGCTGGGGTCGCATCAATAGCGACCGACACCTTTGGTACTTTTGACTTCTTACCTGGTCTTACCACGATCGTTGGACTTTCATCGTATATAGGTTCCTCTTTCTTACCCTTCAATGCTTCCTCTTCTAATCGCCATTTTTCTTCTTCCTCTTGTTTCGTTAATTTCGCCTGATGCTCTTTCGCCAATGTTTCTCTAGTTTTTCGTAGAAATCTCGGCGAACACCTTCGAAAACATAAGAAAATGATTGGAAATGTGAATAGTTTTTCTTTCTTATTCTCTTTTTTTTCATTTAGTTTTTTTTTTATCGTTTTTTTTTTTTTTTAAATAATCAATTCTATTAAAATTTATCAAATATATAATTGTCCTTTTGCATTCTCCAGATGACAATACAATGAAATAAATTTCTCATTTTCTTCTTTTTAGTTTTTATATTCATCGAATATTTGCATTTATGAAACTAAAGTATCAAAAAGATTATTTAAGTCATGACACGTCTCGTAATATACCACGATGATAAGAGAAAGACTAGCTTTCGTCTACAAGTCTAATAATTTTCTCTTTCTTTTAGTCTTCACTGAATGTTTGAGTCAAGATCATCATAACGACTACTTTGTAGTACATTCAAAGACCTTCGTGTTGAATACTATCTCTCTCTCTCTCTTTTTCTCTCTCTCTCTCTCTCTCTCTCTCTCTCTCTCTTTCTATGGCTTTTACGATGGAAGTTTTATGAGAATAATTCCTTTATTCCTTCAAATTTAACCAGAGGAAAAGTAGAAGACGTTGGCTTTGTAAAAGAAGGGTGAGAAACAAAAACACTCTTAGAGGAAGCAATGCTACCTTCTGAATGCAGCTCTCCTTCTTTTAAAACATCACTTGGAGCATGCACGATTCCAAACTAAAATAAGAAAGAGAAAGAGGATCATTTTCATGCTCTAAATCTTCAAAAGTACATATATATATATATATATATATATTTATATAATGTATATATATATATACTATACATATATGTATATATATTATATAAATATATTTATATATACATATATACACAATATCTCGTATAAACAAAATGAAAAGCCCGAGTTCTATTCATTGACGTGTAACGAAGAATCCGTACTTCTTCAGGCTGAGTAATAATCGTGATGGGAAAACGAGCGAAAATTTACTTACTCTTGTAAAATAATTTCGAATATACTTTTAGAAGATAATGAAAAACACGAGTTCGTAGTAATGACGTAATATATGTATGATACTTTTAATAAATAAGACTCTCTTTAATTGGAATTGTCATTAAAGATAATTAAACGATAACTTATCGGATAGCTTAATTGATATAGTTTTTATTAGAAATAAATTCAAATCTATATTTTTGTGAATTAGTTTCGACGACGAAAATTGCCTCTCCTTTCTTTTCTTCTTTCATCATTTTTTCACGTATTATTTCTTTTTCTTTTTTCCTTTTTCTTCGCAGGTAATACTACGACTAAAGCTTTCGATATCGGAATTTCTGATAGCTCTCTTTGACAAAGGCAACGTACGAAAGGTGGGAAAGAGAATCGCGAGAAGCAACAACGTCGATTAACGAAAACGTCCGTCGACGAGATGGGTTCAATATTCATAGGCACGATCGAGTCTCGTAAAATCGATCGAGAACGACTCAAAAGAAGGATATTTCGATAGGAACAAGAAAAAATAAAAAAAGAAAAAAAAAAAACTCTGTTCAATTCGTACGCTCTTGTGTATCGATAAAACGGGAAAAGACCGATTCTACATCGTGAAAACGTAGATATACAATAGCGTTCAAAACACAAAAGCGAACCTCTCTAACGATAAGTGCGTCCGTTAATTGGATGACCAATCCGTTCGATGCTCAGAACGAATCAAAAGAGAGATTGTTATAATCAACGAATAATCAAGAAAAAAACAAGTAATATGTACCTACCGAATCTCAATTTCTTACCAGAAATAAGAATTTAAGTGATAATGATATTTCCGTTTGTATCAAATTTTTCGATATTTTAGATCATATATAATCCTATAATATCTTCGTTAAATATATCGAAATTTACGAATAGATATAATATTTTACTCGAGATAACAGGTCGAAAGTAAAAATGTCGTCAATTTAAACGTCCTTCTTTTCGAGATATCAAGAAACGTCTATGACTAATATTTCTAATTTACAAAGAGGTTTACTTAGAATAATTACGTCGTTTGGGGCAATTGATCAAAAAAATATTTACATTTTTTTCTCCTCTTTCTTTCTCTCCCTTTCTCTCTCTCTCTCTCTCTCTCTTTTTCTCTCATACATACGTACACATACGCTGTTTAGTGAGTATAAAAGAAATTAATTATAGCTAATTCGTTTTATTTTGATGACCCTCGAAAATTCAGAGGACGAATTGAATGCCTGAGGCGTTATTACCCGAAGTTTCGAAGGTCGTCTCTTTAGGTATGTGTGGTAGGGATACCACAAGGAGACGACGAACAATAGAATACATTTAACGATCGAAATGTACGGATGTTATTTTCGTCAAGATTAACACATTTAGTGCTTTATCAATTTCGTATAAAATATATATTCAATTAATACATTTTATATTGTATATGGAAAAGAGATATATAGATTAGATATTATTTTTTATTAAGAAATATACTTTTAACCTTCAAAATGTTTTAAATAAAGTCTGTGGTAAAATTGATTATCGATTATGGATAATCCACGTGGTATTCAATGTATTAATTAATTGCGTTCAATATTTGATAAAATATAGATCATTATTATTTGTAATCACTTGTTGAAGATTCATCAATCACCTTGGAGGAGGCAAAAGGACACGGTAAGATATTTTCTCACCTGTGTACAATTTCCTGCTGTATCCATTCCCTAACTTTAATATGGGTGTCGATGGTAGAACTGGAATTTTCTCGAGAAAGTTTTGACCTCCTACCGAAGTTCGAATTGTTGTCGTAAGCCTTGTCACTTTTTATCACCTCGTTCAAATCCGGCTTACTATCGCTCTTATAACCGAGGTCGCCATAATGGTTTTCTTGTTTCTCTGTCTTTGGCCTTTTGAACGCTTCGTCCTTCTGGCTGAGACGTCTTTTAAGAGGCTTTTCATTCTTTTTCGTTGCTTGACGCTTTCGGTATAGATAAAAGAAAGCGGATAAGTTGATCAAGAGGAATACGACGCCAAAACCAATCATCATCGCTATCACCGAAGAACTTCTCAAAGAACTTGATTCAGGCGTGGTGCTTTCAAGATTTGGCTGATTCGTTGTTATGAAGAAAGGTATCAACGGTCTCCCCTCCAAATTACTTTCAGTAATACTCGATGGAGTCTTCGTTGTAAACCTAATCGGAAATCATTTGATTTTAGTAAATGATTAAAATCGTTGATACCTTTTATCTCCTTAACAGGAAATAAGTTACATGTAGGAGCAATTATATCAACAATATTAATTGTTATACTTTTAATATATTGTTATTTATTTTTTAATTCATTTTAAAAAAGATCTCACTTTATCAATTATTTTTTTCCAACTTTAAGAGATTCATAATGTATATAATAATAATATTAAACAATATAAAAATTACTAGATATAGATATTAACAAAAATATAAATATATTATATTTAATCGCTGACCAGGCACTGTGGATATCGTAGTTCCTGTCGGAGCTGCCATTCGCGTATTTACCAATCCCATCAGCGAAGTCGAGGATCGTAGGTCGTGGACCCTTTGGTCGACTGAACATCGGAATGTCTTTGTTGGGATGCCTCAGCATGTTAGGAAGGTCCTCATTCCAGAATTGCATCTCAGCGGAACGATAGTGAGAGCCGAGCTTTGGTGGTATAGCTGCGACAAAAGAATTTCATCCCATGATCAACGAAGACCATTCTTGGTGACTCTACGTATATTCTATATATTTATATATATATATATATATATATATGTATATATACACAAGTATATATGTATATGTATGCTTTTACTCTAACGTAGTATACTTACTTAAATTAAAATAAGTTTGATTTCTTGGGTTATATTCCAACCAGTGAAGCTCATACTGTTCCCATTCTTTTAATCCGTCGGTCAAATATGGATATCTTTTAGCTGCGTTCGGGTTTCTATTTCACGAATAGATACAGAAATAAAATTTTATCTAAATAAAGATATTATGTAGAAAAGTATTATTATTTTTATCTCGAGGATTTATCGTTAAAATATTCGTTTAACATCTAGTATTTAGGTATCTAATACTCGTTTAATGTATATTCAATATCTAATACCTATGCAGACATTATTTCTTTGTTAATTAGAAACATCATATATTATACGAGAAATGCATAATCGTTAGAAATGTATTTACTGAGATTGTCCGTACATGTGTAACAATCGACTTGCGAGTATGGCGTTTGCTTGCAAACAGAGCTACTAAACAGCTTTGTTTCACTTAATTGGATTGACCCAGTTAAAGGTGATCTCACGGATGCATATATCGTGATGCATATGCATCTATGTATCGCATAGTACTCTATATAGAGCACTCACAGAGAGTGAGCGAGATCGAATCGAGAATTGTAAGGGAGGACGAAAAATGGAAGACATCGCGTCGAGAGTTCACCATCGTGCAACCTTCCTCGAGTAAAATTATTCTCAAGCGGTGAACTTAAAGGAGAAGCCATACTGACGAAACCAAAACGACAAGATAGAATAGAGTGCACGACTGACGGATTGCGATTAATGTTGGAAAATGGGATGCGAATGTAATATCCGAGGACAGAAACATTCTCCTCGGAGTCATTCTTCAGTATTACCGATCTAGTTTATCATTATGCATTCCTGATGGATCTACGAATTTATCAAATCTAAGTTTAACGATTTAGGAGACGTAATTTGCTTTGGACGATATTAGATAGAATATAATTTTATCTCACGGATAACGAACTTTATTCGTAATTCTATCACGTTTCGAATAGATTTATCAGATTTCTACGGGACGAGAATTGAGATCTATCATTTTTTTTTATCTGATCTCTCATTCTTTCTCTTTCTCTCTCTCTCTCTCTCTCTCCTTTTTCTTTCTTATAATTTTGATCTTATTATATCGTACATGAGATTAAACGTATGTAGTAATCATATCAGTTTAAATGTATATATGCAATTTCTCTTCTAACCATTATCCACGTTAGAAATTTTTGCTCGATGTCAGTTAGAGAAGCCAGCTCAACTGGATTACCATTACCATATCGTTTCGAGTAGTAAACGTATAAATATTCAGACGTACTAGAGTTAATTGAAAATCGTGTTTTATAATACGAGGAATCTCTGTGAAACGGTCCGCTTCCCTCGACATTCCACTTTTCGTCGAAAGCGGATTTTCGTAGCACGTAAAACGGGTAAAACAGGACCGTCGCCTTAGATTCGCTTTGAAAATCGTTTCGGTCCGGCCGAAAGCCGTTTCGAAAGTGCCTCTAAAGCTTTCCACTACTTTCCTGAACAGCCTTCCTTGTTTTCCTGTTGTAGTCCTCGTAAAGCAATTTTCCAGGGCTGCCACTGGCTGAAATAGGCGTGCTAATGCTACCTACAAGCGGAGCAGTAAACGTTCGACGTATGTTTATATCTATACATATAATATAACAACGTAACATAACAACGTATACGTTGATTTCATTTTGTTTCGCGGTCATTGCCCTTGTTGGAGAGTGTAAATTATCGCTGACATGTCTGCAGCGAAGAGACTTTTGTTAGCGGTCACTCTCATGTACGATCATGAGCTCTGGAATGGAGAGCGTTAAAGTGCATCGTCATAAAAAAATCTACTACGAGAGAGTTATTTTAAGAGAAAATTTCTGTCTCATCGATTAGACAGATATGAAGTCGTTATTTATTAATGATACGAAGTAGTTGACTAACAAATTTAACAAGCATGTCATCAGAAATATATTTCATTTACGTTCATTTTAATAAATATAAATAATATTTATTTATATAATGTCATTCTATCGATATTTTACGTATTGTCATTGTTTAAAGAAAATATTTTTAACGTCATATCTAGACTTTATCATTATATCAAAGAAATATCATTGTAATACCATGGACGTTGAAAGCAATCGAGATTTCGTAAGTTCTTCTATTTCTTTGTTTGTTTATTTCTGTTTTTTTTTTTTTATTTTTTTATTTTTTTATTTTTTATAATCCGCAAGACATTAAGAAATGTCGAAGACGAAACTAAATTAGCGATCCTCGAGATTCGTTCGTTCAAAAAATTTCTGATTAATTATATAATTTTTTTATATAAACGATCAGACTTACCCGATGTACGCGAAGCTGCACCACCAATTCATCATGGCCTCGGAAAACAATGTCTCGCCGATGTTGTATCGAATACGCAAGTCGTACTTGCTCCTGTCGAGTGGAACGCCGAGCACATAGGACAGCTCTTCGCCGTGTATCGTCTGTTGTCGTTGTTGCTGTAAAATAACGAAGCGACGATATCGATCGATATGTCCCGCTTTTTGTTCCACGCCCTACCCTTCTGATATCCCATTCAACGGCGTCGTCGATAATTATACGAGCCTCGAATAACATCACCGAGAGAGGTTAGTGCACGAGAGAAATCAGAAATAATCATCCGGCCGGGCCATCGGATCCAGCTTGGGAATATTTAAATTAGCAGCTTTATCGTTAACGTTCGTTTCTCATATGTACATAGACTATATACAATGTAAATACATATGTATATACGTATATCACAGATTTACTTTACATTTTCAATTTGAAAAACTTATTGCCTTAACGGATGTCGAGTGTATATTATAAATTTATATTTTCAGCTTGCGAATTCTCTTACAACAATATTGTATTTCATTAAAAAAAAAAAGAGAAAAAAAAAACAAAAAAATTTTATTAATGTCGACAGATGGAGAAAATTTTCAAAGGGAAACGTATATTCAATTCCAATATTTTACTCGGTATACAAATTTATTTTTCACTCATTAGTTACCCTGTTGATTAAGAGTGTCTAAAAATTTATTCCCATATATTCCAAACTATATATATATACCACCACTCTACTTGAAGTATCATAATTTCGAGCTAAAATATGTTATCTCAAGTAGACGACATAATCTAAAGGATTATGTTAGTATCTTTGCGTATGTCACATATTTCATTTTTACTCGACTTTTGTAAATGTTATTAAAATTGTCGATTGTATTTAAATCTTCTCGAATTATTAATCACATAATTTCAATCATTATAAAAAAGGAATATTGAAAGCAAGAATTTTTTTGTTTGAATAAAAAATGAAATACCCGATATATGGATTCAAAGTAGAAATTTTTCACAGGAACCAATCCGATTTCTGTCGGTTTTTTCTATCATATCTCTCTCTCTCTCTCTCTCTCTCTCTCTCTCTCTCTTTCTCTCTCTCTTTCTTTTTCTATCTGCCCTCCGGCATTACGTGGGAAATGAATAGTATGTGTGTGTGAGTGCGCGCGCATACCTCGTACTTCGGTCAATGCGTTCGGGAATTTGCGACTTTAACGTAACGATACATCGGCCACGTCATTGAACTTGGAAATGGAATTCCCCATATTTATGGTGCACGATGCGCCCATACGATGCAAATATCCGTGTCGAAGGGGCAACATTGGTAGTCGAATACGTAATATTTACCGTATTTGCTATATTTGCCTGCGGTATCGTCATATAATACCATTTTCCGCTGCACAATACGGTTCTCGTAACAATTCCCTTTTTTCGGTGGGGTGAAAGTGGCTTTTTTTGTATTTGTTTGTTTTTTTTTGTCTGTTTTCTTTTTTTTTCGTTTATTTGATTCCAATACGCGAACGTTGGTAGAATAAATAGTACGGTTATTGGTCGATACACAGTGTATATTACGTTTAATCCGGATATGCAAAATATTCTCATTCTTTTTTTCTCTCCCAAAATTCTCCGAGAAAAGGAATGATTATATTGTTATTGTAACTTATATTATTTTTGTAACATCGATCAATGAGAACGACTAGTTTTTGAATTTTATTAATTAAAATCGAGAAACTTATGTGCTTTTGTACATGTGATTTTTTTAAGATGAAACGTCTAATATATTTTGATATATATAATTGAGGAATATTTAATCGATTGAATTCAATTCGATAGAAATAAAAGGATCATTCTAACGGCTTTTAAACATCCTTATCGTACGCCATAACGCAACACAAATTTATAGCGCTCCGCTGACTTCACAAGCGTCTACGAGCCTAAAGAGACCTTTATGCTGATCAACGATACGATCAAGGGTCGGTAAAGTGTACCTACATCAACACCGAGTCGAGAGTATTGGATAACTCGGAAAATAAAGGACCAGATCCAATCGGAAAATGAAACTTTAGTTCTACTCGAAAACCATTCGACATTTCGGCCGATTTAGTCTCTGTGTAATAGAAATCACAAGGATATTTGGCCCTAACCCAAACAGATTCATAGTTCCTACTCGTGTTTTTCTTTTCTGCAGTTTACGAACATAATGACTATTGTTAAGCTATCAAACGAGAAATTCAGAAGAGCAAGAAAGATAGAGAGAAACAGAAAGATAAACGGATAGAAGACAGAAAAAAATAAATTCACAATTGTATTTTTATTTTTTTTACGATAAAATATCGACGGTCCGTAGATGAAAAAATATTAGGTGATATTTCATTATTTTATATCGTAGATATATATATATATATATTTTTTTATACTTTCGAATTACGAATAAAAATTTTGTATCATATTATTTCGATCGAAAAATATATATAGTTATTAAAATGTATATAATATATCTATACGGTATAATTAACTTGTAAAATGACATATTTATTCGATTAAGAAACATGTCAGTGATTTTAAAATTTTCTTGACATTTCCGCTTATCAGTATTTCCCTGAAACATTTCGACGTCTCCCTTCGAACTCCATTAAACTCTATACATATAACTTTTTCTTTTTTTTTTTTTCAACGTATTTTATACAAAGTAAATCTGTTCACATATAAATGCATAAAATTAAAATCAAACATCGTGTGTAAGCGAAAAACATAAACAATTAAATAGTATATATATATATACGTGTATGAATATTGACTTGATTAAAACATTCTATTGTATAATGAAATTTCGACGATCGATTCGAGTATTGATTACATTAAATCGACTTTCTCTTTCAACACTCTTCAGAATTAATTAACATATTCCTGGAAGTCCGAGAAGTAGTCGATCTATCAATGTCAAGGTAAGAAGTAACTTACGCCGGAGTAATCTTGCATAGCCTTCGGATGAGAGAAGACGTACATGTAACTATTCGGGTTCGCCCTAGAATGTAAATTGGCGGTCATTATCAATGGTGCGACAGTACCGCTGTCAGAGAATGCTTCCAGAACCATATCCCTATTCTTCGTCGCATAGTCGTCTGTAAATTCACCGTAAAAGTCGCCATAGTGTTCGAGAATCTTTGATAGTACGAGCTCTGGCTCCAACTCGTGCGTAGCCTGTAAAATTGATTAGATCTTACTTTTTCATTCTTTAAAGAAATTTATTAAATTTAATCAGTTTCATATCAATTTAATACGAATTCATTCTTTAAGTTAAAGACTGCCAATTGTAATTATGATTCGTATAGTACGATTATATCAATTTTAAAGTTTTTTTTTTCAATTATACAAATCTTTTGTTACTATAATTAGAACATATAAAAGAAATGATGTTATACGAATCAAACGAATATTTTGCTTTTCAATCTTAATTAAAAGGATTAATTTAAATTTATATTTTTTATTCATAGAGAATCATTGATTATTAATCTTTTTGAACGTATACACGTGCATCCGAAAATTTTTAATGTAAAAAGACTTATCGCGTAATAATCACAAATAATGATTCTTACCTTAGCATGATCTCGAAGAATTTCATCGCGTTGATTATCTGACAAACCATGTAGTAAGGCAATGGGCGGTAAAATATGAAATTTTTCTGACTCAGTAACGCCGTACATCAAGTCGAATCTGCGCAAGTATTTACAAGTGGATGTATTAGAGAAATTTTGCACGAATACCCTAGAGACGTATTCAAAGCGCACTGCTTTCTGCCATAAGCGGCTCCTATACGATGCACGGTTATGCGGCGAAAAGGATTAATCTACTGCGCGTACCCACTTGCCGCAATAATACGCGGTAGTACGTAATACCGTGGTAAAAGGTGGGTGCTCTTAAAAGCATGCGACTAGGTGAGAGAAGCATTACGAGTATCGTTTTGTATATTTTATCTCGTATACTCTCTCCATAGAGAATATATACATATAATATTTTCGATATATTCTCTATACATTTTGATAGATTTAGATGTATTGGGTCGATTCATAAATAAGTGGTTTATAAATAACATACAAGTATAAATAAATAACATATAAGTAAGAAGTTTATTACAATGAAACGGCACTTATTTATGAATCAACCCAATATATATTTAGATTAGAACTAATGTGCCGTCTTACGAACGATATAAAATAAAATAACTATGTTATATAACATATATTTTATATATAAAAGATTATATTTAATTTCTAATTTTATATATATAGTAAAAGAGAAAAAAGAAAATAGAAATACATAAGATTATTAATAACGTATATATAATATATTTTCACGATAGTAAAATTATTTATTAATTATTTATCTATTAATAGTTAACAATTTCATAAATTTGACTGATTTACGAACGTGGATTAATTCGATAGAAATTATTTCATCTTTCGATTTGTCATACAAAATAACTAACCTGCCAAAAAGTTGTGTGTTTTCCATGAGATTAATAGGTTTATCCGGTATAACTGCCCTGTCAACAAGAGGTGCAAACGCCGGCACGTATTTCGGCTTGTGAATCTTCACGTTTAAAAGAGCTTCGACATCTTGAAAGCGCAGACAAAGAGCCAAATCGCTGTCGGTCGTCGTTGGACAATTCAAAGCGTGCGCCACCTGTAAAAGGAAGCGATTCCTGCAATTTCTCTTGAACAGCAATGAACATTCCTGACCTATCTCGAAGCTTTCGCGACGATAAACGATCATTGTGTTTTCTTTTTTTATTTCTCTCTCACCAACCTGGAATTTAGATCGTGACACCAGTTTATTCTCTGAACGTTTCTTTGTTCGATGTAAGGGAATGGCTTACATTCGTATTCGTATTTGTATTTTAACTGAAACGTAGCGATTCAAATGAAATTCAAACGAATCATTTGAATAATTAATATATTAATTAAATGTCTTTAATTGTCCCTTTTTTTTGTAGTGTTTAGTGAAATATGAAATAATACATGTGAATTATTTTTAATGGATTTATAAATTAAAAGAGTTTCAATGAAAGATAAAATAAAACACAATTCATTCGAGAGCTCCGACATAATTTGAAATAGGGAGTATTAATAAATTGAATTTATTAAGAAGAGATCAATTAAATATTTACACTTTTATACCAAAATAATAAATAAGAAAGTTTATAATACAGAATATTTTAATTTTATTAACGAGTCTAAATATGTACGTAATATATCAGTGAACGCATTCTCAATTTTATATGAAATTATTTCCCTAAAAATTTTTCAAGAGAGAATGCATGTGAATATAAGAAAAAAGGATGAAGGTCAGTGGTTATATTTATAAAAAATTAAGTTTTTTTTTTCAAACATAATTGTTTTACTGAAAGAAATAAGAAATTCTATGTCTATTTCTTTGTACACGAGCTCACTATAAAAGTCTCGTGTTATAGTATTCTGACGTTATAATATTCCCATAAAGATATGAGAGAGAATGAGAGAAACAAGAAAGGAGATCTAAAAAGAGTCAGAGAGAGAGAGAGAGAGAGAGAGAGAGAGAGAGAGAAAGAGAGAGAGAGAGAGAGAAGAGAGAGAGAGAGAAAGAGAGAGAGAGAGAGAGAGAGAGAAAGAGAAAGAGACGATGAGAGAGAGAAAGAGAAAGAGACGATGAGAGAGAGAAAGAGAAAGAGACGATGAGAGAGAGAAAGAGAAAGAGACGATGAGAGAGTTTAAAGAGTAGAGACGGTGGAAACGCAAAGGCGTCGACCCGTGTTGCACCGATGCGTTTAATTTCGCGTTCGAGATACGTAAGAGACTTCCTAAATCCTCTCATCCCTTTGCCGACGACGGGATCAAAGGCGATGAAAACCTTTAACGGGCCTTCGAGCGAACTCCGTTCTTGTCTCCCTATCCCCCTCTATTACTACCTCCTCCCCCTGCCCCCCATGCTATACAGAATTTCGCGGATTTTACTAAGAACACCCTTTGATTCCTTGAATCTAATAAACCGACTTCACAATTATTATCTGTTTGTCTGATAATATTCCGAAATGATAAAACGACATATGGTGCGTAAAAATATTCCTCTTCTTTGGTTTTATATATATATATATATATATATATATATATATATATATATATAAAAGTAAGAAAAATGAAAAAAGAATGCAAAGCTGTTGTTTCGTTGAAAGAAATCATTTATAATAATCGACGTAAAAAATTTTTAATAGGTATTTAAGTGATAATAAACGATTACGTTTAAATTCAATTGAAATAAACGCAGTTTAACAATTTCATTATATCTGGCACATATTTCTATATTAACGGTATATTAAATAATTGAAATATTTGCTTGATAATATAGAGAAAATTTTACGAGTGATAATGATACAAAAAGTATGAATACTTTCTGTTTACTTCATTAATATAAATGCTATATTAGAAAATTATTATATTATTTTATTTATCTATTTGTGTGAAAGATGATAAGTTTGTAACGTGACGTTTAATCATTTTAATCAAAAGTATATTTCATGTAACCATATCGAGAATGAATTTCGAAAATAGAGATATATTTTGTACAAAGTATATTCCAAATACAAAAAAGAACTTGTTTTTTTACGTGATAAGTTCTTTTTCTCCCCTTCTCTCTCTCTCTCTCTCTCTCTTTCTCTCTCTCCTCACTCTTTCTTTCGCGTAAATTCATCTTCCATTCGAACTTGATCGATGAAACTGGAATATATTCTTACCTGCTTGGTAATTTGCAGCGGCGCCTTGCCAATGGCGTCAGCGCTCAACGCCGAGCCGGACATCAGAATGGCTCGCTTGAACAGACCTGAATGTTATAAGAGACAGGAACGATTAATAACTTTTCTGCTTGCTTGCCGTGGTGAAAGAGGATGAAGAAAGTGAAAACAAAAGGGAAAAAGAGAGGAAAAGATGAACAAAGAGGAGAGAGAACAAAAAATGATCTTTCCCTTCTTTCTCAGCTGACCTAAACGCAACGTAAAAATACAAACAAGGGGTAAAATGAAAAATTACAATTCCATTTTCCTCTTTGCTTTATATATGTATATATATATATATATATATATATATATATACATATATAAACGTAACCCAAAATTAATCCCTTTACTAGTTGAAAATATTCAACTTAGTTTCATTTGAAAATTCAATTTTCAAGTTTTCTACAAGTTTTCTATTTAAAGAAGGAAAACAAAGTCGAGAACTAGAGATGAAATTAATCCTGATCGTGGAATACTTCTTAACGTCTCGGTTTCGAGAAAAAAAAAAGATAACAAAAAAGAAAAAGTAAAAAATTATCTACTCCGAAGAACACTCAAGAGAAGTTCGAAACTATATAGTACATGTTGACGTTGTTAAGCCGTATATCGATAAATCGTCACGATCATCTCTCCTTCTTGAAGTTGTGAGGTTCTAATATATTTCATAATTATTAGCCGAAGAGGGTGAATTCGTCGATCGTGTTGGTGTCAAGGACAGAAAAGCAAAAAGCCTTTACTTTCGATGAGTATGAAAAATGATCGAATTTTCTCTGATCTCCTCGTAAAGTGTGTTCGTCAACGAGTTTCTAGCGTTTAGGGTTCGATGATGGAAGTGGAGATTGTCTACGAGAGAGACAACCATAGCATCGACGCGTTCATGCGAGGAACGTTTAGACCGTAACACGTACGGCCAAGCTGTTCTACGAACCCCTTCCTAGTTACGCTCGCAGTTTCACCCTGTAATACGTATGCACGCGTGTGTCCCGGTTCACCGGTTCACACCGTTCACGATCTACGAGATTAATTCACGAAACGATTCTCCATCCTTCTCTTACTCTCAAACCTACCTTCCCCGACCTTGCCCCATCCCCCTTCCCCTAACCCTTCCCTCTCCTCCTTCCTTCCTTTACCCCTAACGCCCCTTTCAACAAACTTCGATCTCGTGAAACTGGCCAACTTTACTCCAACTTCTCGAACACGTTCTATTCTTCTACTATCGTCAATGTGATTCTAAACTAACTTTATTTACACCAATATATATCTCTTAGAAGTAACATTATTATTTTTAATATAAACTTTCTGTTATGTTAGTGTAAGAATATATTAACATTATATAGATCGGTTGAATAATTATTAAATAATTGAATAAATGAGAGCTGAAGGAACATCAGTCTTAAAGTTGAATCTTTACGCATCGTAATTGTTGCAATTTGTAATTACTTCAAAATGAGCAGACATGATTTTTACTTTGCTTCGAATTTCATATTCCTCTTAATAATATTGTTAATATATACAACTTCATCAAGTATTATTATTGTTATTAGTTATGCAGAGGATGTCGAATTTATTCGTGAAATATCTCTTGGAAAATGTATACTCTGTATGGAAAAATTTAATGGTCCAGGTTTATATGAAATTTTTGTTCTTTTTTTTACGTGACTCCAAACAAGAAGTTCTTTTAACGAGTTTTTCTAGAATTTACGTAGAAGAGATTAGTTTCTCGTTGAACGACACCAATGCGAGGTTACAGTAGTTCGTATACGTTAGAGACATACGAAAAGGAATGGAGTTATTTTTCCAAGAGAGAAGTACTTTAATATATTTTTGAAACACGGAAACGTTTTAAGGGCGTAGAAGATAATTTCACTCTTGTTGAACTCCGAATATGCTCTTGCCGCGTATATACATATATAAAATATCTACGAGAAGATATGGGTTCCCTGGTTAGATTCCAAGTTTGTTGGATATTCAATTTAGCATGAAATAAAGAAGTCTTTCAGAAAGAAAAATATTTACCGCGGAAAAAGAAATTACATTAGAATTTTTCGATTTAAAATTATTAAGAAAATTATAATATAAAATAAAGAGAGAGAGAGAGAGAGAGAGAAAAGATTTTTTCAAAATTTAATTTATTTCATTTTATATCTTTAAATAAATATTTGTCTCAATTAAATCGTCGTACCTTTATTGTTTGCAACCGGACTGATGAGAAGTAAGTTAGCAAAAATGGCACCTGTACCGTGACCAACTAAGGTCACACTGTTGGGATCTCCACCGAAGGCAGCAATATTTTCTCGGAGCCATAAAAGCGCTGCTATTTGATCCAGTAATCCAAAATTACTCGCTGCGTCGTCCCTAGTACCTGGTCTTAGAAAACCTACAAAAGAAGATCACTTTCTTTTTGTTACCGTGTTATATCGATCGAGTAAATCTTTGCAATATATTATATTTTTTTTTCATTGTTAAAAGTATTTGTTTTACTCTCTTCATTTTCCTTATATATTCAGATATTTTCTTCTTACAGATTCTAACTTTACTATAATAAATCGTAGTGTTGCTCTCTTTCTCTTTTTCAAAATCTTCCAGCAATCGGTCGCTATATCCCCGTAAAAGAACGTCACGGTTCATGGCGTAGAAATAGTGAACGCTATCGATCATCCACGGCGAAAGGAGACTTTGAAAAATTTCGAAGCGAGAAAGAAAGTAGTGGAAGGCTAGAAGAAAAGGAAAAAAATAAAACTCTGGTTGATGCAAGAGTAAAGTTCATTGAGTTTGCTGAGACTTTCGTCTCAGTGTTTATATAATTCGAAGTTCGAAAAGGACAAGTATTATAGAAGAAAGTTACCTTTTAGAAAGTGGAACCTTCCAACTGACCTTTCTCGTGAAAAGGATAACATGAGTAGGAGCATGAGTACGATACAAATGGACGAACGTTGCAATAGAGAATGAACGAACGTATAGCCTAGCTAGTAAGTGGAGTGGTCGAAGTAGAAAAAAGAGTGTAATAGCAGGAGAAGAGAAAAGATATAGAGATAAAAAGAGAGAGAGAGAGAGAGAGAGAGAGAGAGAGAGAGAGAGAAGAGAAAGACGAGTCCGAAACCATAATCATAAATTAGGTTAAAGTGCCGGAGAAGCGCTTAGTAACTTCGCTTTAGGTGGTCTGCTTTGCTCGAGAAAGAGAGAAAGAGAGAGAGGGAAAGAGAGAAAGAGAAAGAGAGAGAGAGAGAGAAAGAAAGAGAAGGAAAAGAAAGATAGAAGCTCACGGATAACTTGGCCCCTTCGCAAAACATGGGAAAAAATATGCTTCTCGAGCTCGACGTGGTGGAAGAAAAGAACAGAAGCGTTATGGTATAAGAGCTGGTTCTGCGTTTCGGACTAACTAACAGGAAAGGAGGCTCTTTAACCTTTCGTTAGTTTGATTAAGCTACGTACTTCGTCATTTCCATCTCGCGCTTCTCTACCGGATTTTCTTTTCTCTTTTTTTTTATCTTTATCTCCTTTTTTTATTTCTTTTTTTTTTCATTAGTTAATCTAAAGGAACTCGCTACAGAAGATAAAACGAATTAGTTCGAAGAGGGATGGGGGTAAAAGGATCGATCTTTTGATAAAAAGAAAAATATATTGTTTATCTTATTATTTGGAAACAGTATTAAATCTGTGTATTTCTTTATATTTTAATTAAATTATTGTAAATATAAAAAATAATTTATTTATAGACTGTTTGAAATGATTTATTTATAGATAGTTTTTATGATTTTAATAATATAATAATATAATTTGTATGTAGATCTGCAAAAGGATCTTGATTTAAGATTACATCTAATTTCTCAGGTTGATCACGTGATTTAACCATGTTCTGGGATAATAACAAATAAAGAAAATAAAAAGAACTCGCGTATTAAGGATCAAAGGTCGAAACGTCGAAATGTGAATATTAACGATGCAGAAGTCTTGATTCTGTGCTGAATATCTTCACGCAGTCCAACGGGATTTCGTAAATTCAAATTGGAACAGCTTTTGCCTTCGGTCCGTTGAAAAATCGAATATCCTCGGCGATCTTCGTAAATAGAATTTATTGATTTTTTATTAGAGTTGAATCACGATACGATCGTGGAGAGTAGAAAAAGAAAAAAATTCATTCTAGATCGATTCAACGATTTTGTAATTTATAGCAAAGTAGAAATGCTAAACACGTGCACGTAATGCACGTACTACATTAAATCCTGATATTTAAATGTATGCATACATACTATACATTTTTTATAGTATATATGCATATCATTGAGTATATATATATATGTATATACATGTACGTATGGTATATGTAATATGTCCTGCGAAAACATATCTAATATATTTAAATTTTTAAATACATATATATATATATATATATATATATATATATATATATTCGTACGTAAAGGAATCTAACTTACCTAAAATGCCTAGGCGAAAATTTATGGTGACGAAAACGACATTTCCATAAGCCGTTAGAATGGTGCCATCGTATGGATTACCACTGTTCCATTCGTAACTTTCGCCATGTATAAACACCATTACAGGATACTTTTTTAAATTCCTTTGTCCTGCGAATGGAAACAAAAAAGATATCGATAGCTGTTAGTATAAATAATAAAAATATTTTTATTAAATATTCTTCATATATATTATATACACGTATATGCCATTATTATATACATATGTAGACATATGTAGATATGTGCTATTACGGTAGGTCACGTCGTTTTTTACGAGTTACTTTGATTTACGTCGGACGAAAAATGATCACCGTAGTTTGCTTGTGGTAGCGAGAGCACGTTGGTCCGGGTCAGTTTGAAAATTTATGTCCATATCGGTCGGCTCGCTAACTATTCAGAGTTTTCGATATTAGAGTAACTATAAATTCTTCCAATCCCGTCCGGAATACGACAAAGTTTTCTTTTTGGAATACGATCTGCAAATTAGAACGCCGAGGACTTTGGCTGTTTAATTTATCGTTGAATCCATTTCATTCGATCGCATTTTCTAGTTTGTCGGACGAAATCGGTAAAGCGTCTGTTCGAGCGAACTTTAAATCGATAGCTACGAACTTTAATCGCTTGACTCTTGGAGTCGTACAAATTTCTTTTATTTTCATCCGATCAAAGCCCACGTTAATCATATGGTTCTTCCCCATTTTATAATTTTTTATTTTACCATGCAAAATCCTTAATAATGACGATTTTTTGTTTAATATCCGTTCAAATTTCATAAAATTATTTGAATATAATGTACTGGTTAATTATACAATAATTAAATAATTTTCAAACGATATATCTGAAGATATAGATCATTGACTTTACATATACATGATATGAAAGAGATGAAATAAAAAAAAAAAAAAAAAAAAAAAAAACATTGCAAAAGAATAAAGAATATATTTAATTACAAAAATTTCACGTAATTTGATTTAAATGATTCAATTAATTGACAATTTTGCATTTAAATGGATTCAAGTTAATGTATTCGTCAAGTTATCGTATTTCGTATTATATTACAATATAATATACAATATATACGAATGAATCAAGCGCGATATTAATGAATTTTAATCATTCGAAATTAATTAAAGAATGTAAGTATTTTCTTATTTTTCTCTTTTTCTCTTTCAAAACAAGAAGATAAAGGCTAGAAGTGAACAAATGTTTCGGAGCATTTTACCGTAGTGAGAACATTGCGACTGTCACTCGTGATATGTTGGAGCGAGGGCGCATGGAAATTGAATGTCGCATCGATGTTAACCGAGTCGACGAATGAGACACACGTCGGAATCCACTGAGAATGCTGTGCATCGAAGTATTTCGATATTATAAAATTACTTGCTCGTGGAAAGCGCGTTATTTCACAGTCACGAAATATCAAAAAATTTTAATATCTTTTCGAGAGAAGCAAAAGCGCGTACGTATATTATTTCTCTCTCTCTCAGACACACACACATACACACATACACGCACTCTTCCTCTAACTTTATATAACTTTACTTTTGTGTCAACAATTTGGAACATGCGAGCTTATTATATTTCGTATAGAAATAATTTTATAATTTTCTTCATTTAAAAACTCTTTTTCAAATAATAAGACCTAAGTTTCATATATATATATATATATATATATATATATATTGTAATTTTCAATTTTCTCCTTTCTCCTTTTTTTTTTTCTAATAAAAACTACTATCTATTATTCTTGACCATTAATTAAAATAATTTTGCAATGAGAGAAACGAGTGTAAATAGTAATTAATCTTCTGATGAAGAAAAAGAAGAAAAAGAGAAAAAAAGAAAAGTGAATAAGATCTTTGAAACATTTATTAAATATAAACACCACGATCTCAATCTAATTCATTTAATCAAAAATGAATTGTGTAATTGGGAAAAGTAATAGATATCGTTAGCTTTTGCCGTTTTATTTTGCTCGTGTACACACATTAACCGTGTCGATCGGAAAAGATACTTTTGATCTCACAAAGTGATCGCTTAATCATAGATTTGATTTCATCTTCGATAATCAACAAATATATTGAGAAATAGAGACAAATACAAAGATAGAGATGGAAATAGAAATAGAGAGAGAGAGAGAGAGAGAGAGAGAGAGAAAGAGAGGGAGGGAGGGAGGAAGGGAGATATCGATGGGGGAGAGAAGGGAAGAGAAATCTAAAAACTTATTTGCTCGCAAAGCTTATCCTGAAGGTTTAATTTACAGTTTCAATTATCACCACTGACGGCAGGAAACCGAACGTACCATCATATTCCTATTTGGGATTGAACCACGAAAAGGGAAAGTTCTCTCACGATTGGCGAGGAAATCTGCGCTTTTTCCCGTCACTTTAAAGCAAAATCACAGAAGGATGAGAGCATAAAGAATCAAACGTGAACCAATATCGATGACCTCCTGACTTTTCTCTTCTTCCTTTTCTCATCTTTTTTGTATTCTTCATTTTTTTAATCTTCTTCCTAATACCTTTTTTATCTTTCCGATAAAATTGATCTCCCTTTGAAATCGTACAGTAGTAGATTTAAAATTGAAATGGCGAATAAAAAAAATCGTCGAGTTCCATTGATATCGTCTGATTGAAATGTTTTTCTTTTTTTTTCTTTTTTTTTTTTTCTCAAATTTTAACAGGTAAGTTATAAAAGGAATGTAAATCCATCTATGCGTTTTGTCATTATAATTTTTTCTATGTAGAAAATATAAAATGATTTCACAATAGGATTGTAAATATCATTTCGAATTCATTCTTTGGATCTTAAAACATAAATTAAAGGGAATGCAATCACGTCGTTTTATTCAAATTATCCATCACTCGACGGACGAATTTGATCGATCGATCGATCGATCGAAAGAAAGTAGGTACTCGGGAAGCATCTCTTTTAATATTATCCGCTAAATTGAGAACTTGTTACTCTGATGTCGCATCAATTTAGTTTGGTCGACGACAGAAAAGAAGAGAGAAAAGCAATAATCGGTTTGAAAAAGTATGAAGAGAGAAAGAGAGAGACAGAGAGAGAGAGAGAGAGAGAGAGAGAGAGAGAGAGAGAGAGAAATAATAATAAGAAAAATATAAAAACGTATTATTCTGTAAATAAATAATCTTATAAAAGATCTAGAATCTATAAAGGATCATATTGTTACAATATAATTAAAATAATTAATATAAAAGAAAAAGAATCTAATAAATTTATTTATAAAATATATTTTAATAATAGTTAGTAATAAAAAATTATTAACATATATTATCATAACAATGATACAATATATAGAAAGAAAATTATAATACAATAAATATACAACAAATGAAAGAGATCGATATAAGGTATTAGAATTAATAAAACAGCGATATAAAATGTTTGAAAACCAAATTTTGAATAAGGAAAAGAGAGATACAGAAGAGGGAGAGAGAGAGAGAGAGAGAGGGAGAAGATATCTAGGGCAAGGAGGACAAAGACCTTTACGAACGACCAGTCGAGAAATTTGCATGAAAATTGAAAGGCAAATCGGTGCGTTCTGCATAAAATTGATGTATCGAGAATCATGGCCGTAGGTAGGTATTTTCATGTCGTGCTGGTCGCAGACTGTTTTCTGGAGTGGGAAACCGATAGTATAAATCACTCGACGACAACCTAATCTGTATCCTAATAAATGGAAGGAAGTATGGCTTCCTTTTTCCTTGATTGGTCAGTTATCGTGATCAATTTTAAACAGAAAAAAAAAAGAAAAAATAAATAATAATAATAATAATAATAATTAAAAATAATAATAATAATATTAGGGGGATCGGAAAGTAATGTCACTTTCTTAAATTAAATTCAAACGAATAAATTTTGAACTAGTTTTTATTTTTAATCACAGTCAAATATCGACATGCGCAGAAACGACATTACTTTCCGGTCCCCATAATATATAATATTAAATTAAATAGAATCAAATAAATGATCATACAAAACAATTAACATAAAATATATTTTTATATATATCTATCAAATATATTGTACGTCAAATATATTTAAAATTATTATTTCGAAGTCAAATAAAATGAACTAATCGTGAAAATTTTTTTAATTATTAAATTTATTTAATTTCTTCATTATAAAGAAAAGGAAAAATCCGTGCTTGGTTATTCTTTAAAAATTTGATACATTGTTGAATATGCCAAATGTCTTTAATACGAATTCTTTTTCTTAGAAGATGAATCATCTCGCAAAGAGGGTTGAAAATTTGTTCAGGGTGCTGCCATCAGTGGAATATTGTTCGAAACTCTATACCGACGGCGTTTCCAAAGATACGACGTAGATGTCGTCAGGTATATCATTTTACCACCCTTCAAATGCACTCCCAATATTCTTACTTCTAACGAAAGCTTAATGTATTTCGTACGTATTGATTATAAATATTGTAAATGTTACATTCATTGATCAGAAAGAAAATTTATTTACACTCTTATCATATGTATTACATATATATATATATATAATACATACTTATATATATATATTAATATATATAATAATACATATTATTTATTACGATAAATAACAATAATTATTATATCAGATAACTAACAACTCTTATGGAGGAGAGTGCGAATGTATTAGGTTGGAAACTATGAAACGGGCGTTTTTGTTTAGTTATTTATTTCCATTCAACGCCCGTTTCATAGTTTCCAACCTAATAATAGAAGATTCTTATCTTTTCTAATCGAAATTTAAGAAGTTTCGATTTTCAATAATTTTATATAGACCATCTTTTCATTTCTTTCTTTCTATCTTTTTTTTTGTTTTGTTTTTTTTTTTTTTATTTTATACGTATATACACATTTTTCAAAGTTTATATTTGATTTTAGTCCATCAGTTTTTGCACGTGTAATTGCAATTTTCTGTAATTTGTACATTTTCAGATATTGCTCTCATCAAAATTTATTGGATCAGTAGCGTATCTAGCTCTATCGAATTTGATGAACCTGCAATGAACGTGCGTAATATTAACAAAAAACATCAAAAAGAAAAAAAAAAAAAGAGAGAAGAAAAAAGAAACAAGCGACTGGAAGCAT